TATAGGCTACACTAACGTGACATTTAGGTGGTTTGTTTAACTATTATACATGATGTACGTTTTTTGGAGGGTGGTTAATGAAAGTGTTCCAAAACGTGACATTTATTTCTTGACGACCTAATGTATTATACTTAAAAGTTGTGAAAATATTTTATATAATTTTTTTATAAGGTCTGTTAAACAAGAAACATCTTGGCACTATTTTCATGCGTGTATTAACATCATTAGTGTGCACGAGTAAACAAGCTGTTTTAAAAGATACTAGTTTAGACAACTTGGTAGGAATTTTATTCTAGTATAATTTGATGCTGTGTTACTAATATTACCTTATAAATTTATGCTTTAACTACCACAATGGGGGCTGGAACACCAACTTCAGGTATTCATACTCACTACTTCCAATGGCAGGACTTTTTCTTTCTCTTGGTTACGTTTTTCACTTCTTCTGAGAACAGTCACCTTCCCACAACTGTCTGCAAGCAGTGATATAAATGTGGGACTTTAGACTCCATATCTTGTTCTCTTATTGTCTCGTTTTTCATATTTTACTCTTTTATTTTTATCATTATTTTTTTTTTACCTGTGAGGCTTTGCAAACAGGAGGTTCCCCATAGCAATGTTGGCCCTACTTCCACAGTCACTAGGACAACAGGAGGTTAAGACTAATAGATGGTGTATCCTGACTGCTATGTGGTTTCTTGTTCCATAGTCGCCAGGACAACAGGAGGTTAAGAGTAATAGATGTATCCTCACCGCTAAGTGGTTTCTAGTTCCATAGTCACCAGGACAACAGGAGGTTAAGACTAATAGATGGTGTATCCTGACTGCTATGTGGTTTCTTGTTCCATAGTCACCAGGACAACAGGAGGTTAAGACGAATAGATGGTGTATCCCCACCACTATGGAGTCTTACTTGCACAGTAACCAGGACAACAGGGGGTTAAAAGTAATAGATGGTGTATCCTCACCGCTATGGTGTCCTACTTCCACAGTAACCAGGACAACAGGAGGTTAAGTCTAATAGATCATGTATCCTGACTGCTATGTGGGTCCTAATTCCACAGTCACCAGGACAACAGGAGGTTAAGAATAATAGATGTATCCTCACTGCTATGTGGTTTCTTGTTCTATAGTCACCAGGACAACAGGAGGTTAAGACGAATAGATAGTGTATCCTCACTGCTAAAGGACCCTACTTCCACAATCACCAGGACAACAGGAGGTTAAGACTAATAGACGGTGTATCCCCACTGCTATGGGGTCCTACTTCCACAGTAACCAGGGCAACAGGAGGTTAAGAGTAATAGATGGTGTATCCTCACCGCTATGTGGTTTCTAGTTCCATAGTCACCAGGACAACAGGAGGTTAAGACTAATAGATGGTGTATCCCCACCTCTATGCGGGTCTTACTTCTGCATTCACCAGGACATATCTTATACCCCACATTGTAGCCAGTGCTCTGGTGACTTTGTTTTGTTGTGCAGCATTTTGGTTTCTTATTAAGTAAAGTATAACTTAATAGTATAGATCGACAAGGTTTCCAAATAATTCACTTGTCGAAAAACCACCATGTTGAATTCCTAAGCGAAAAACCGACCATTCAAAGTATTGGTTACGATATATTATGCGTGTATATACTAATAATACGCTAAAAATGTTGCTAACATGTCCGGTATAACAATTCAAAAGTTTCTAAAACAGCAACTTTTTTTTTTATACTACTTACCTGATCACGGCAGCGGGGCTAGCGCCTAGATGGTTCGGACTATCGTTACAAGATCTCTCCAGCTTACTTGACTGGTCTGTGGGTATCCGCTTTTGATATTCCGATAAATATGTACAGATTTTTTATAAATGGTAAACATATGCACGTACTTAAATATCTTTTCAAACCACCAGATGGCGCTACATACAGATGGATAGACACACGACAGTTTATAAAGGTAAATTATATACTTTATACAGGTATAACATAAAAAGTAAACAAACAAGAATATAAAAAAATATGAATTTTAAAATAAAGTAGGGATCCTGCTACAAAAAGTAATGAAATAAGAATTAAAACCACAATCGCAAATTTATAAAATTTAATCCATACTTTGGCATATTTTATACACTTTTCTGTAGGCTTAAGTAATGAATACACTTTATAAATTTCTGAATGTTGTTTTAATTCTTGTAAAAGTTGTAACTAAACTGAATG